CAGGGGTCGCCTAAGACCATTGGAAAACATATATAATTACATATTGTTTTTGTGATGAATCACTATGCTTTCATTATGTTCACTTTGTAACAGTGAAAATACATCCTGCCTATCAGATATTTACATGACGATTCATAACAGTAGCAAAATTACAGTTAGGAAGGAGCAACGAAAATAATGTTATGGTTGGGGGTCACCACAACATGAGGAGCTGTATTAAAGGGTCGCGGCATTAGGAAGGTTGAGAGCCACTGCTCTACACCAGACACCCTTCCAGGGCAGGGCCAGGGCCAGGGCCGGCTCATCCCTTTGCCTCCACAGCCTGCGCAGGGCCTGGCCCGCGGTGACGGGAGCCGAGTGTCTCCATCTCTGCCTGTGTTGTGTCTCTCCTCCTGGGGTTCCATCTCTTGGTTCCCCCGTCCCTGCCTCTGTCTCTCTCAGCCTCGGGGCCTCTCCCTCCCGAGTGGGGGGCTGAGGTGGGGTGTGGGCTGCGGCTGGGCCTGGAGCTGAGGCGGATGGGTGTGTGGGGGTGGTGAGGGGGGGACAGGGCTGGGCAGGTTTCAGGAATGTGGGAGGGACAGGCTGGCTCAGACATGCCCGGCCTGGCGCCAGAGCCCCCTACTCGCCCGTGGCCCCCCTGCCTCTTTGATAGAGCAGGGAAGGGGTAAGGTGCATCACCTCACAACAGGATAGGATTGAGGCCCCACATCCCGGGTCCTGCGGGAGGAGGGAGGGGCTGGGGGCCTGGACTCCTGGGTCTGAGGGAGGAGGGGCTGGGGGCCTGGACTCCTGGGTCTGAGGGAGGAGGGAGCTGGGGCCTGGACTCCTGGGTCTGAGGGAGGAGGGAGCTGGGCCTGGACTCCTGAGTCTGAGGGAGGAGGGGCTGGGGGCCTGGACTCCTGGGTCCTAGGGGAGGAGGTGGCTGGGCCTGGACTCTTGTCCCAAGATCCTGGCAGATAGAGCTGCTCTCATCAGGAAACCACGCTCTCTCACCCTCTGGGCTGGCATCCTGGCATCAGCTCTCATTTCTTAGAACTTCCCCCCCCTGCCCCCCAGCCTGGCCCATCCCTGCCCCTGGAGACCCACTATTTTGCTATGCTTGTGCCAGGGGCCTGGATTCCCAGGCACCCACCTCTGGCCCAGGCCTGTCCCAGGGGAGGGGGCACGGGGCCAGCCTGCTGCCTGGGCTGGGGCTGAGCAGCGGAGAGCAGGGGCGGAAGGCAGGACCGCCTCTCTCCCCCAGTTCCTCTCCCTCTGCTGCCAGCCGCAGGGCCTGCTCCCCTCCCACTTCCCCACAGGTGTGCGGGCTAAACTGGGGCCCAGGAAGGGGCAGTGTCACTAGGAAACACTTTGCTCACTGTCACTGTCCGGGGCTGGCCTCCAGCCCTTCCCCGAGGGAGGCGGGCTCTTCAGAGTCTGGGCTCTGAACCCCTCCGATGCCGTGATCCCTGGGCTCTAGCTATGGGATTCCGCTCCTCTCAAAACTTGAGACTCTCAGGAGGGGCGCCCTGGGCTGTGGTCTCCTGGGCCCTGGGAGGAAGCCATGCCAGCCACCAGGGACCTGGATCCCTGGGTCTGAGGGAGCAGGGGGCCCGGGACCCAGATCCGGGGGCAGCGCCTGGGGGGGTCCCAGCTCCAGCCTTGGAGTGGGAGGGGCTCTGACTTCCCGGGTGGTCTCTGACCAGGGCTGTGGGGTCCCCAGCTCCTCTGTCCGGCTGCCCCCTGATCTCTCATTGGGACGGACGCCCCCCATGCTCCCATACCCCTCCTTCCTGGGGTCCCCAGGTTTGGCTTCCTGGGGTGGGTAAAAGTCCCTTTCCCCCTCACTCCCCGGGGGCCCCCATCGCACCCTGCTCCCAGCCCCAGCCTACCTGGGTGCGCCCCCAGCA